TACTGCTACTACTACTGCCACTACTGCCACTACTGCTACTACTGCTACTCCCACACTCCTACTACCACCACCGCCTCCTGATGGTGCTGTCTCTTTGCGGCTACAATGGCACGACTGAAAGTTTGACAACTCCTGCCTCGAAAAATCTTCTAACTGTTGACATTGCTCCGACTGCACATCTCTTACTTACTTCTGTTGCGAGTGATTTGCTGCAGTACCGGTTGTTGATCTCTTCGTATCGTGGTCGCTGCTATCCCTTCCTGCATCTGGGATGCTGCTAGCAGACATCAGTCTCGTTTCCGGGATTCCACGTGCGAGAAAGGCAGCAGCCATAACATAGGGGCCGCAATAGTTAGAATAGGGTTTGGTTTACAGTCTACACTATTCAAAGTTAGTTTCGGGCCTGGGTCGTCAAGAGGACTCGGCCTGGGTTTTCAGGTCAATGAGAATACACTGGGGCGACAACCTGCCAGTTCTGTGAAGTTTGGACGTTGCGGGAATTGGTGACAGGAGAAGGATGCCCCAGATTTGCCCAACGATCGTTTAGGGTTTAGGGTTTAGGGACTCCATACGGTTCGCCGACCCAAGATCTTGATGCACTTTCAAAATTCCTAGAAGAAGCTGACAAAGCAAACCCAATCCATCAAAACTCTCAAGTAGGTCCGCTCCCTTGCATCCTAACTTACATAGCAGCACTTCTCCATATAAGCACCTACCTAAAATGAGGTAGAGGGTCCCGATGCTTACGTCTCATCCTCCTGGCTGCACACCGAGGGCAAACCCGAGGCCTCCCCTGCGAGAGCGCACTGCAACCTGGGATGATGACGGGCTACTTCGAGCTCGGGTGGGTTTAGGGTTTAGAGTTTAGGGTCTAAGGGAATCGAGTCAGACTTCACAGAACTCAAGTCTGCTAGGTGCCCCAGCCCCTTTTTAAGTTGCAAGGACTGCTAGGACTTGCAACCATAAGGCCCAAAACCTATAAACGAAGCAAGGCTTTGAAACGGCAAGCGGCGAGCATCCGTGGCGAGCCGCTGCTGTTACATGACCCGCATGCAGCGTCGGGGTGACGTCCTGAGAATGTGGGATATTGGGACAGTTTAAACAATAGGATCCTGCTACTGCTACTACTACTACTACTACTACTACTACTTCTACTACTACGACGACTAC